ATTGATTCCTTTGAAGAATTTTCTGGGAAAAAATTTCTTTTATTTCTCAACTTCCAAACATTTCAGTCTAAAATCTCAATTAGAACTTCTTCATAAGAAAGATTATCTTAAATTCAAAAGGATTCCAAAGTGCAATAGATGTCAGATGTCCACCACACTTCTTAAACAAAGAGACATGGATACCAGATGTACTGATGCTAAGTCATTATGAAACTCAAGTTCATAAGCAACTTTGTCAATATGCCTCAAAATCTGATTTGGTCCCACATAACAAGCACGAAGCTTTCCTTTCTTTTAGAACCTTATTACACCATTCATGGGTGAAATTTTCAAGAAGACCCAGTCTTTAACCTCGAACTCTAGACCTCTTCTCCTAACATTGGCCTAAGGCTTTTGTTAACTTTGTGATAATTTTAAATCTATCATGAATAAGTAGAACCTTTTTCATATTGTCTACCAACTCCATCACTAGACGCAGCCTCACCAAATGTGAACCAATAGGATACCTAAAACTCGTAACATAAAGGTCCTCAAATGGGTTCATCCTAAAACTTGAATGATAGTTTTATTATAACAAAATTCAATAGAAGGCAAATCATCATAAAAATTTCCCTTAAAATCAATCACAAAAGATCTTAACATATCCTCTAAGGTCTGAATCGTACGTTCAGCTTTCCCATCATTTTGAGGATGAAAGGTCATGCTAAGTTTCACTTTCGTTCAAAGACCATTCTGAAATAACTTCCAAAACATAGATGTAAATTAATTACCATGAACGGGGATAATGGACAAGGGCACTCCATGCAACTTTAAAATTTCTTGGATATAAATCTTGGCCTACTCCTCAACTGAAAAATGAAGTCTTAATGGAAAAAATGAGTTGATTTCATCATTTTGTCAAATATAACACAAATCTTATTGAAAATTTGATGAGTGCGAGGCAAACCTGTGATGCAGTTCATATTCAAATATTCTCATTTCCATGTAGGACTGCTAATCTTTTGACCCAACCCGATTTTGATGCTCAACTTCCACTTTTTGATAATTCAAACATCTAGTAACAAATTCCGCAATATACTTCATTATCTCATTCCACCACTAGACTTTCCATAAGTCATGGTATATCTTTGTGGCTCTAAGGTGAATAGAACACCAAGAACTATGAGATTTTGTGATAATAAGATTCCTTAACCCATCAAAAGTTGGAACACATAATCAACATTAATATCGAAGTACACCATCTCCCCCTTGGAGTAATCCTCAACATCTTTTTAAAAAACTAACTTCTTCAAAGAAACAAGTACCGGGTAAAGATCTTGCTTAGACTTTACATCTGATATAAAAGTTGATTCAGCAGAACTATGAACAGCTAATACACCATTTAGAATGAACCAACGGAAACCTAATCAGGGACAATCTATGAACATCACAAACTAACTATTTCTTATCATACTCAATATGAGCTAAACTTCTCATCGCTACTCAACTTAGATCATCTACCACCATGTTTGCCTTACTGGGGTAATAGTATATTATCATGTCATAATATAAAAACAACTCAAGTCATCTCTTTTTTGGTCAGTAAACACATCCACATGAAAACCATACAAGTAATGTCTTTAAATGGTTAGAGAAAACACTAGTGTTGCTAACACCAAATCGACTAAGATAATTCTTCTCATGCATCTTCAATTGCCTTGAACTGTAGCCAATAAATTTTCCAAGGTGCATTAGAACACAACCAAGACCAATATATGAAGCATCAATAATACACCACAAAACCTTCCAAATTCTTTCGGTAAAGCCAAAATAGGGGTCAAAGTAAGTCTATCCCTCAACTCTTGGAAACTCTTCCCAAAAGTTTCAAACCATAAAAACTTTACCTTCTCTCAAGAAAATGTTTTGAAAGGCGAATAAGTAGATGAAAATACTTTCTCACACCTTCTATAGAAAGTGCCAAACATAAGAAACTTGGTATATATGAAGTCGACAGAGGTCTAGGATCTCTTTGGACAACCTCGATTTTCTCTGGATCACTTTAATACCTTCATCAATTAAAGTATGGTAAAGTAAAGCAATGGACCTCAACAAAAATTACATTTACTAAACTTGGCATACAATTATTGATCCCTGATGATTTCCAAAACAATCCTCAAATGTTTGATATGCTCATCTTCACTCCATGAATATATCAACATATTATCAATAAACACAATCACAAACATATCAAGGTATTGCCTAAAGACCATATTCAAAAAAATCCACAAATGTCATGGGGTAATTACTCAAACCAAAAGAAACCACCAAAAACATATAATGACCATACCGAGTTTGGAAAGTCATATTCTAAATGTCACTCTCCTTCGCCCTCTACTGGATATAATCTATTAGATTTAAATCCTAAAAAAGTTACTCACTCCTTGGAGTTGATCGAAAAAAATATTGATCCTTTCAATAGGATTCTTATTTGTAATGATAACATTGTTCATTTGCTGATAATCAATGCACATTCAAAAAGAATAATCCTTCTTTGGAACAAATCACTAGCGCACCCCATGGTGAGATACTTTGTCTAATGTCACCTTTATCCGACAAATCTTTTAGTTGTTCATTTAACTCTTTTTATACCGGGTACATATGGTATGGAGGAACACAGATAGGATATGCATCAAGGAAAAGTTCAATATCAAAGTTGACGTCCCTTTCAAGAGTAATACCGATAACATCACTAGTGAAAATATCCAGAAAGCTATTTCTAATTGAAACTAACTTCAAAGAACAAGTTTTGGAATCTCTATCAATAACTCAAACAAGATGGTAAATGTAACCCTTAGAAATCATTTTCCTAGCATTTAGGCAAGATATAAATTTTTCCTTAAGGACATAATTTCCCCTTTTCCATGACTTGAATGTGACTAATAGTTTCCAATAATATATGGAAGTGTAACATGCATAAAGAGAATCCACCCCAAGAATAACATAAAAATCTAACATATAGAGCTCTACAAGATCAATTTGAGTGACTATATGAGAAATGAAAATAGAAAAAAATCAATAAAATCTCTTAGCCACTATAGATTTATCAACAGGATTAGAGATATTAAATGGATAAGAAATCATGCCAAGACTAATACAAAATCTCATGACCACATAAGGAGTAACAACAACAAAGTAGAACCCAAATCAAGTAAATCATGGAATTTCACATAAAATTTGGCATGAGTCACTTATCAGCCAAAGGGTAAATTGAACTTGAGGGACCTCAGGCTCCACATTTTTACCCACATTCCTTCTCTCATAAGCTCTTTGAGGGTCTACATTCTAAGTCAACAGGAATTAGGAGAATGATCTTTCATAGAGATGAATCTATGGCACGACTTTAGATTAATTAAATAAGTAGAGTTTCCTAAATGTTTTGTAGCCTCATATTCATAAAAGTAGTGCGTTTCACATCTAAGAATATGACTATACTTAATGTGGTTTGTCATACCTCGTAGGACCTCTTACAAAAACCTTCTACTATGAATTCTAAGTTTTCCATGACCCAACGTACACAGTAGACATGCCATAATGTTTATGACCCCGAGAGTCCCTAAAATAGCCACTTAAAAAACATATATATAACTTAATAGAGTAAAGTAGAAAAATCTCTTATATTGAAAGTGTTTGACAAAAATAAGATTTCTAATATAAGTCTTGAAAAGTCATCTACTACATCAAAAGAAGTGGTAGGGACATAACTTATACACCACATAAAACATCAAAAAACTTAAGATATAAGAAATCAATAAAGCTGACATAGTACTTGGAGTATCAACGTTCACCAAGTCTTCGAATCTACATGGTCATCCACTAGCCACGAACTAAGGGAAAAGAATCATCACTCCATAAATTAGTAAAACAATGTACGTACAAGTATGCATTACTATATGAAATGCACTAACTATTAAATAATTTAATAAAATATGAAAATATGATCATAAAGATAACAATCGAGATCATGAAATTCATGACCAAGATAAGCATTATACGAACGATCATAAGTAGAATCATAAATCATGAACATGGTGAATTCATCTTTAAATCATCAATTAAGCTTCATCAAAACCTTGATTAAAACATATATCATTGTCAATATCAACTTTAACCGAGAATAGACCATGCGAGCTATCATATGGAATGCGGGCTATAGCATGGAATATGATGTAACTATACATCGAGAAAGAAAATCATATGCCCTGGTTGAAATTTATATCATTATTCCTATGTTATATGTTGATCAACTAGTTAGGTCATTTAAGACAAGACTATGGAGGGACATAATTTCGAACTAGAGATTACTACCAGACACTATCCCTTTTGTTCTTCCTCCACCTCAAAGTTCTCTCGGTGCTAAGTTAAATACCAATGGAATAGTCAATGTCATAAACATATCCTTATCCATGTAAAACTAGAATTCAAAAACAAGTTCAAGATTAAACATCATAGAGTAGCTAATTACTTTTACAGGTAAAAAAAACCTTTAATCAAATTATGATTCCTATATATGTGAGAAAAAACTTTTAAAATTTCATTTATACTCATATTAAAGAAACCTAATTCATAATACTTTCCTTTTCATAAATCTTGCAGAACTTCGTGAAAACATAAAATCATATTTTATTAATTCTTTATAAATTTATGATTTTTAGGCTTCATGGTAAAAATTGATTAGGAATACATAGTTTCATATTATTAATTGGAAAGCATGTAAATGAGATAAAAAAAATCATAATAAGATCACATTCAAACAATTGGATTGGAATTAATAGAATCCATGACCAATTGCATCAAAACGTAATCAATTTGATTAAAATTTAGCTTGGAGAATTGAGAAACCTTGGGAAATCAATAGGTAAATTTAATCTATTGATTAATCCATGTATGCATTTCTATTCAAAACACCAAATCAATGCTGAAAAAAGATACTTGACTTGAAACCTGAGATTTTTGTACTTGACCTTAGGAGAAAATTAGAAGGCATGAATGTTGGTGGAATTTAGGAGTTTGAGAGAATGAGAGAGATGGGTTAGTTTTAGGAATAGAAAACCAATTGTAGGACTTAGAAATAGGAGTAAAAAGACGTAGTTTATATATTAGATGCATCAAAAATGACTCAATTACCCTTAAAAGTAATTGTCGGGTGGTTCCTACAGTTCGGACCTACAAATAGGGGGTAAAACAACGTATTATAGGTATTAGATGAATAGTATAATACCTATATACCCTTAAAATAACTATTGGATGGTTCCTATGGTCTATAAAACTTTATACGGTCTGTACTAGTCAACTGTAAAACCAACTACAGACACCCAATCACATTACTTCCCACAAGACTTTTCTAGGGTCCATTTAAATTCATACGGTCCATAGACATTATCCACATGACTTAATTTTTAGAAAAAAAATTCACTAAGTCTAAAACCTTTCTATGGATCTCATCAATGACACATTAAATTTTCTACAATTTGTCCATTTCATTCATAGGACAAACTTCAGAAAGTTAATAATACAAAATACCATTCTAGATTCTACGACTCCACTGCTACAACTAGTTGGAATTCTTACTGTTTATAATCATGTCGTGTAGACCTCTTCCTCAAATAATTTTCTGAACTTTTCTTGCCTTTGTCAAGAGTCAGAGTCGAAAAGAGGATTCCTCACTTCTTTCTACTTTCAAACTTCCGAGGTGTTACATTAATAGTATGTCGATATCATAATTTATCTAAAAAAATGAGTATTTTAAAAATATATATGAAGCTTCCTCTATTTTTTTCAAACATCTTGTCTTTCCAATTTCATTTATTTTTTGAATGTAAATACGAAGACATACAAATGTGAGATTAACAATATGAAATAAAATGAAATTAAGCATGCAAACTTGTTAATATGAAAAACTGGAGGGAAAAAGGGACAAAAAAAGGAAATGAAAACCCTAACCCTATCTATCCAAGTCTAAATTCAATTAATGGAATATTACAACAACCAAAGACTAAAAAATTGAATGAAAAAACCAAGTCACTAAAATTAATATGTTGTCTTTGCAATAGTAGGACAAAACCTTAGAAGTAATACAAAGACCCACTGGCTCAAAGCCCACCAGACCCACTAGAATCACCGGACTCGAGCGATCTTATAGTGGACGATGAACAAAGGTCATAGTTTTTCAAAGAGATCATGTTAGGACGAAACAACACACCGACCCAGACCTATGAAATGCCCAAAGAGCAACAATCTGATGGAAGACTCCCTTGCCCAGTGGGGAGAAAGTCCACTTAATTGGGGAAGATAAGCAAAGGCTATAATAACAATGTTACCTATTAGTGATAATAAAAATATTTGGAAAAATAATATCACATTCTTATCTGAAAAACAAATTGATAGATCCATGGTAACTCTTAAAACCACATATACTAATAGATCTAGGATGTGACTACCATATCGTCAAATTCAACCAAGTACAAAACATGAGTAAGGACATCTATGAAGGGTCATGGTTCGTAGTTGGTCATTTCTTATCATTCAAAAGATCATAACCATATTTTGTCAACACAAATCATCCATGACCCATAAAATAATATGGACGAGGCTGCCCCATGTAATAACGGAGTTCTACAATAAATAAATCCTAGAAAAAATAGGAAAGAGGTTATGAGAATTACTAAAGACGGACACTTTTACCTCAACTACTATTAAAGGAGATGTTCTTAAATATGCTTACAAAGTCCTCTAGAAATACTAGTTGAAACAAAAAGCGATCATTGGCAATCACAGGTAAAAGATGGTATTAGATGGTGATGGAATTATCTGTGTGGGTTGTGAAGGATAATACATACCTTAGGAGTTGCATAATAAATATTCATAACCACCAAAAACACCAATATAGTTAGAACATTCCTTCATCAAGCGAAATAAAGCAGGCAAACAATTGGAAAATTATCTCCTTTCCAAAAATTAAAAAGTCAGGAGCAAAATTTCAACTAAATCATTGGATCATAAAACGTAAATGAGACTAAATCCGCAACACGTAAAACTTACAATCCTATCCAAGAAAGTTTATTGAAATCTCCATACCACTTCAAGCACACAGAGAAGGACATCAAAGAAATTTGAAAAAGGTAAAACTAATTGTGAAAATATTAATTATGGTAATAATGGGACCAAGACATTTACTCATAATGTTGCATCCCTACCTACCTCTATCTTAAACGCTCGTAATCCCCCTTACTCATGAATTTCTATTATAGAGAATCCAATTAATCAAAAAGATTATCATGTATCCACCAGCCAAACTAAATTAATCACAAATTGGACCCAAAGTCATAAAGTTTTCTCAGACTCCTCAGAGAACACAAGAGGTGCCCTTCCACCATCCTTAAAACACTCTCACTGAGGAAAGTAATCATCACAACCTTATGAACGATTTTACAATAAAGGTCGCATCAAAGAACTGATCATTTTTGTCCCTACCATGGAAAAATAGATCAATTTAAAGGCCAATGCCACTAAGAGAGTAATCAAAGAGCCTCACACCAATATACCCCAACCTCTAATCTTCATAACAACGCCAATGGTACCAAACCACAACCCCTCATTCTGTCTTGCATTAGCATTATACAACAAACAGCTAACCTTCAAGGTCACCATAGCAGGATAGCCGGTGACTCGAATCCTCCAGAATCTAGTATACCTATCCCATATGACATAGAAAAGAGTGGAAAAAATAATAGGGGGATTAGGGAATCAAATTTGGATGCAAACTCTAAGGGAAAGGCCGCAATGGAAAAATAGTCAAGACGATGTCCATGGAGGACTCTACACCATAATAGGCACAATTTCTAGACATTGCCCTTCTTTCCTTCCCACTCATAACTAATGAGATATCAAAGCCCAACCTTCATCCGTAAGATAAAATAGGATATAATACATACAATAAACTCTCAACTCCTTAGGGAGTGACTCGAAACCTAAGTGGTAAGGAACCTCAATCCTAGAGCTTCTTATAAGAAATAGTCAAAACCTAAAGATTTATCAATAAGGCTTAAAGATAAAGATATCAAAACCTGCATACATGAGAAACCCTTTTTCAAGGAATTGAAAAAGCATATCAACATCACCGTAATAGCACTCTTTCTATAGCATTAAAGAAGTGTACTCTAAGAATGAGGAAAATGATTATGTCATCACCACTAGTTTTTCAGTTGAACCCCACGGGTGTACAAACTTACATGAACCAGTCGAAGAAAAAAAAGAGCATGTATGACCAGGAATCACAATCATCGTCAACGATGAACTTCATCATATATAACATGAGCCAACCCAATAATGAAACCTTTCGGTGCCTATTTGAAGCAATGGTTAAATATCACAAACCAGTCATGCTCGTGCTTTTGGAAAGAAAAATGATAGAGCAAAACAATCTCACAAATAGGTTAAAGTTTGATTCTTAAATTCAAACACCTACTAATTGTCTTGCATGAGGAATATTAGTCATGTGAAAGGAGGACGCTCTAAAGTTGGAAAATTTGACAGTAACAACACAAGGAATCCATGTCACAGTCAAAGTAATCCCTGACATCCACTCTTGAAATTTTTCAGCTATCTATTTTAGCCCAAATTTTAATACTAGAACAATTTTCTAGGAAGAGTTGTGTAACCTCTTCAGAAGTATAGATAGAAAATGACTCATCACTGGACAATACAGTGAAGTCTTGAAAAACAGTGGGAAGCTAGGAGGTAATATATTTAAAAGCACTAGAACAAGTATCTTATGGGAATGTATTAACAAGTGTAAAATGGTAGATCTAGGATTCAAAGGTTATGAACATACTTGTACCATTATAAGATATAGAAATATAAATTGCCTTATTCTATAGAGACTTGATAGGTGAATAGATAACTACCTCTAGGTAAAACTCTTTCGGGTACTCCCTAGTCACTCATCTTCCTAGGACCAAGTCTGATCACTTCCCCATGCTTGTTGAGCGGGACAAAACCTATACCAATAAAGGCAAGAAGACTTTCCTAATTTAGCCCATGTTATGTGGACATCCCTCTTTCATAATTCATTCCAAAACCATGCTTAAATAGACAAGACAACCTTAGTGCGATATTGATTGCTTTTAAAAGAAAGCTACCAACTGGAACATCAATACCTTTGATAACATCTTCTTCAAAATGGGAAGACTTCTTGCAAGAATAGATTGAATTCAAAAATCCCCCAACTACAACCTCAGACCCTTTCTTCAGGATCTTAAGTCTACCCTACTTAAGTAATATGATAAAATCCTTATTGCTAAAAAAAATTTAGAAGACTAAATCAAGAATTAACTGGCTAACGGATGGTGATCATAACACATTCTTCCACATAACCACAATTCGGAGAAGGAGAAAGAACCGCATTGTCTAAATCAAAAATAAAACTGGAAATCAATAGAGTACCAAGAATACATTAGAAACCACATCACCAACTTCTTCCAATAACTTTATATTACTGATCATTCTAGTTCTACCAAGAACTTCTCAACGAATAATCAACCTATCCACTCTCTAACCCCTAACTCACATATTTGTTGGACACTCTTTGTGGGAGAGTGAAATCCTCACAGGACTTCACTATTTTAAGCAACTAAAGCTCCTAGTCAGAACAGAATTAACCACATGTTTTACCAAAAATGTTGGAAAATTGTCAAGGATAAATACATTGTCTTCTACAAAAGTGTTTTGCAACCACCTAGGTTCAACTTCGCCCTTTTCTTCCTCATCCCTAAATGCCCTAGTTACCTTTGTAATACAACATACAAACTCTTTGAAAGGTTGTTATCAATCGCTCAAGTCTATCCTCCCGTCCGCCATTAAAACTAGCAAGGATAACTTCCTTTCTAATAGAAGGTCCTTTAACAATGCCATCATTGTCTAGAAATGTATTACTCAATATTGAAAAATGAAAGAAAAAATCCCTAATATGATTCTAAAGATTGACCTTGAAATTATTTTGATATATTGAAATGGTCTTACATTTGCGAAACTTTACATTATTTCAACATTCCCCCAACCTGGCCAAACTCGTCATGTCATGCATCACCACTTCCTTCATAGCCACACTATTCAATGGAAGGAAAAATGAATACTTCCACCTTCCGAGGTGAATTAGGGAGGGAGACCCTATGTACCCTTACATTTTCATCATTTGAATAAAAAGACTTTAAAGAGATATTGAAAAAGTTGTTAGAGACAAGAACTGAAGCCCATTCAAATTTCTAGTAAGGGTCCCAAAATCACTCAACTTTTCTTTGTAGACGATCTCTACCTGTTTGCCAAAGCTGACCAAATGAATTAAAAAAACATATAAACATTCTTCATACCTTCTGCAATTGAATGGTTCAACGAGCTAGAACCTTGAATTCACAATAT